TCCTTCATCACCATAGGCTCTTGCTCATATGTTTATTTCATGAAATTCCTCTGTGTCAGCCAATTCCTTCTGATACAGTGACTCTGTGTACCCCTTCCATCTTCTCTTTATACTTCCTGGACCATTTAACATTCTACCCAAAGTATCCTTAAGTATTGCCATCGTGGCTTGAATTTGTTTTTCAACTCCTTCAGCTTAAGAAATGCTGAGCGAATTCGTCCCTTTTGATTTTCTGACTACAGCTGTCTGCACATTTTATTATAGTATCTTGCTTTGTTGTCCTGGGCTGCCTTTTGAAATTTTCTGTTTAGCTCTTTTATTTCTTGGTTTCTTCCTTTAGCTTTGGCTTCTCGGCGCTCTAATGCAATACTCAGAGTCTCATCTGATATCCATCTTGGTCTTTTCTTCTGTTTCAGCCTTTGTATTCTTCATGGATGATTTTCTTGATATCCTCCCAGAGCTCACTTGGTCTACGCTCATTGGTACTCAAGGCCTCAAACCTGTTCCTGAGATGGTTTTGAAATTTGAGTGGGACAGACTTAAGTAAATCAATATAAAATTTTAAAAAAATTTTTTAAAGCAAAAAATACCCCCAAAAGTACACAATAAATGCCCACTATATTTATTGTAGCCCAAGTTCCATTACATGGAAATTTGCATAATCTACATAATGAAACTCAAAATGATTTATATGAAAATATTTTAATTTTTTTTAATAAAAAGAATGTCTTTGAGAAATTGTAATCAGGATGTTCCTTAGAGACAAGGTTGATGAAACTTCATCTTATATACTTTGAGCAAGTGCCAGGAGGGCCAAGTCCTTGGAAAAGGACATGATGTTGGGAAAAATAGAGGGTCAGAGAAAAAGAGGAAGTCTCTCAATAGAATGTTGTTTTTGAAGGCTACAGTCCTTGTTCTTCTGCAGCAAGTACTTCAGGTCCTCCTCACTTTCAGCAAATAAGGGTTGTATTATCTAAATAATGCAGGTTGTTGGGGAGTCTTTCTCCAATTCTGATGCCACACTTTTCTCTGTAAAGTCCAGCCACTCTAATGATTTGTTCCGCATACAGACTGAATAGCTATGGAGAAAGGATACAGTTCTGACACACTCTTTTCCCAATTTTAATTCATGCAGTGTTCCCTTGCTTAGTTCAGACAATAGCTTCTTGGTCTAGGTACATAATTTGTATAATATAGTATTCTTGAATTCCCATTACTCTCAAGGCTAGCCATAGTTTGTTATGATCCACACAATCAAATGTCTTTGCGTAGTCAATGAAAAGCAAATAAACATTCTGCTATTCTCTGCTTTCAGCCAAGGTCCATCTGAAATCAGCAATGATATTTCTGGTGCCATGGCCTCTTCTAAACCCAGCTTGAACTTCTGGCAGTTCTCTGTCTATGTATTGTTTTAGCCATTTTGCTTGCATGTGATATTAATGATATTGTTCAATAATTTCCCCATTCTGTTGGATCACCTTTCTTGGGAATGAGAACAAATATGGATCTCTTCCAATCAGTTGACCAGGTAGCTGTCTTCCAAACTTCCTGGCATAGACTGGTAAGCACATCTAGGACTGCATCTGCTATTTGGAACATGTCAATAGCCATCCCTATGATTCCTTGTATCTTATTTGTTGTTGTTAATATTCAGGACATCTCAAATATCTGATTCTGAATTACTATGTACAATTTTAGTGGTTTATTGTTGGAGCTACCACTCCACTAATGTTTAATGATTTCAACCAGAGTTCAAAACAATGCTTTCATCTCTGAACAACTAAGCTTCCAACCCAAGTCAGCTAAAAGATAGTGACATTTATTATCTAACATAACAGGAAGCAGATGAGTTCCTTAAAGACTCAGTAATATCACACGGACCCATTGCCATTTATTTCCATACCTTTGCTATGCCATTAAACAGCTCTGTATCATCCTAAAGCTTGTTCCCCTGGGACTCATTGCTATTAACAGCTAGGGTGACATGTTTTTGTGTTACATTCAATTGGACAGGATGGCAATCCCTTAAATATGATTGGCCATTTAAATAACTGCCTAAAGCAAAGTATTGCCCAGGGGAAATACTGGTTACCAAATTGTTTAGGCTTAGGTTTCTTAAAAAACTTCAAGTAAGAGGATAAAAAAATTCTCACTGTCAGTTTAGGTTAATTAAAACCAATCACGGAGAAGTAAATAGATAGCAACATGTTGTTTTAAAACAAGAACGGAACAGATGTGGTAGAGTAAACCATAGTGCAAATCAGAATTTTTCACTACAGTTCAAACATTGATATCAGCTGATTTCAAGAAACTACAGATTTCTGGATATAAGATTTTAAGATAATTTGTACATTCATTGAGTAAGATTCTGTTGCAAATACTACCAATATTTCTTCCACAGAATTATCATCAATGAAAAAATGAGACTGGATTTCAACTATAAGTTCAAAGAGACTCGTGACTATCTTCATCAGCATAATGTCCTCATTCCTGACTTAGTATAGGACCTGACACAGATTGGATGTTCAAAATTGATTGCTAGCTGAAAACATAAGCACAAAAAAAAAATAACTTCCAATAAGAGATGTACACCTGCAGCAAAAGAACCTGCACAAAGAAAAGACACTTAACTATATATGGTTTATAAAAAGTTAATTAAAGATGTCCTATAATCCCAGGTCCCATCTAAATCCCAGCATCTATCTATCTATCTATCTATCTATCTATCTATCTATCTATCTATCTAATCTATCTATCTTTTATTGTTGCTAATGTTATGTGCTGTACAGTCACCTGTGCCTCATAGTAACGCTATGGACAACAGCCCTAATCCCTGCTCTATTGTGCAAATCTCACTGTCTCTGACACATCTACCCCCATTACCCTAGTCACTGAGTCAATCCATATCATCCAGTGTCTTCTTCTCCTGTGCTGTCCCTCCACTCTCCCAAACATGATATCCCTCTCCAAGGACTGGTCCCTCCTTGCAACATGTCCAAAGTAAGTCAGATGAAGCTTCAGAATCCTTGCCTCCAAGGAGCAACCTGGTCTCACCCTGTCTAAGACATATCTATTTGTTT